AGTCCACCAGTTCTACTGTCAAACAGCTCTTGCCATCAATAAGTTTTCCCAAATGTTTCGTCGGAATCTCCTTTCTTGGAACTTGAATTCTATCCCTCTCTCACAATGCTAGAACTTGTGGACGCTCAACAACGTCTTGTTCATGCAGCGTCGTAAAGACTGTGGAACTCTCTCCCACTTGAGGCAGTGAGTCCAGCAGCAACCGGTTGGTAGGCTATTCCGTTCTGGGTGCCAAGAACCAGAACCCCAGATCTCACCTGGGTCCAAAGGCTGAGCCTTACTTACCCAGGATATTCTCACGTTTTCGGCAGCCCAGTTACCGGCGAACAGCAACAAAAGCACCACCAGCAGCAGCAACAGCAAATGGCAGCTATTTGGGATGGCATCCAGCAGGTTTGCCAGCATGGTCTTGGGGCAAGGCAGCTGCTCTGGCCGGACTCCAGGCAGGGAGTTCACAGGGCCCCTTCTCCCGAGGTAACGCTTGCATCACAAATGTCTTCTGTAGTCCACCCTGGTTGGCTCAGGGCCTCTCTGTGATCAGTCAGCCAGCAGCAGAATGGGTGGCATTCATCCAGCCCTCTGAGCTGGGCTGGGCTGAGAGGCAACTGCCCCCTGACCCCCAAGAGTGGCTTGTGCCCCACAGCTGAGTTTTCAATTCTGAAATGAGAGGACCTGAAACTCAAGCATGCTTGTGCTGGGTATTGCAGATCCGCCAAGGCTCCCTCTTTCCCAGATGGACAGAAGCCATCCTAGTTTCTGATTTGAACAGGGAATGTCTTGCTTTTCTTAAAGGTAAAGGGACCCCTGACCATTAGGTCCAGTCGCCGACGGCTCTGTGGTTGTGGCGCTCACCTCACTTTATTAGCCGAGGGAGCCGGCGTACAGCTTCTGGGTTATGTGGCCAGCAGGACTAAGCCCTTTCTGGTTAACCAGAGCAGCGCATGGAAATGCTGTTTACCTTCCCGCTAGAGCGGTACCTATTTATCTACTTGTACTTTGACGTGCTTTCAAACTGCTAGGTTGGCAGGAGCAGGGACTGAGCAATGGGAACTCACCCCATCGTTGCGGGGATTCGAACCGCCGACCTGATCGACAAGTCCTAGGCTCTGTGGTTTAACCCACAGTGCCACCCGCATCCATTTTCCTTAGGACGTTCCTGTTTTCACCAGAGAAATGTGGGAGGGTATGGAATAGGAGTCTGTTTTCACCGGAGAAATGTGGGAGGGTATGACATTGAAGGTGACCCGGAAACTACTAAAGGACCAGGTGCGCAGCCTGGGAGTCATTTTGGACTCACAGCCGTCCATGGAGGCGCAGGTTAATTCTGTGTCCAGGGCAGCTGTCTACCAGCTCCATCTGGTGCGCAGGCTGAGACCCTCCCTGCCTGCAGACTGTCTCGCCAGAGTGGTGCATGCTCTGGTTCTCTCCCGCTTGGACTACTGCAATGCGCTGTACGTGGGGCTACCTTTGAAGGTGACTCGGAAACTACAACTAATCCAGAATGCGGCAGCCAGACTGGTGACTGGGACCACAGAACACTGGTCTTGAAAGACCTTCATTGGCTTCCAGTAGGTTTCTGAGCACAATTCAAAGTGTTGGTCTTGACCTTGAAAGCCCAAAATGGCCTCAGTATACCTGAAGGAGCGTCTCCACCTCCATTGTTAAGCCCGGACTCTGAGGTCCAGTGCCGAGGGCCTTCTGGTGGTTCCCTTGCTGTGAGAAGCCAAGTTACAGGAAACCAGGCAGAGAGCCTTCTCGGTAGTGGCCCCCGCCCTGTGGAACGCCCTCCCAGCAGATGTCAAGGAAATAAACAACTATCTGACTTTTAGGAGACATCTGAAGGCAGCCCTGTTTAGGGAAGCTTTTACTATTGGATGAATTATTGTATTTTAATATTTTGCTGGGAGCCGCCCAGAGTGGCTGGGGAAACCCAGTCAGATAGGCAGGGTATAAATAAATTATTATCATCATCATCATCATTGTTGTTGTTGTCGTCATTGTACAGCTGGAGAAGGATCAGGAAAGGGCAACCAAAATGATCCCGGGGTGGAGGAACTCTCTACGAAGTTGCAGCGTTTGGGGATTTTTACTTAAGAGAAAAGGCAAGTGAGAGGTGACATGATAGAATATTATAAAAGTGTGTGGGCAGGGGTACAGCATGGGGGGTGCAGGGGAGCCTGAGCCCTGGCGCATGGTTTTTTTTTGGGTGCAAGGATGCCCGTTCTGTCCTGCCTGCTGTGCCGTGTCCATCCCTGCCTGGGTGGGCAAGGGCACATCATGGCCCTGCTTGGCTCCAGCGGCCAGGCCTCAACCAGTGCGCAGGCTCCATAAAACCTCTGCACCCCGTGGGTGTGTGCCCAGCAGTGCTGGCGTTGAGGACTGGCCTGGCGCGGTGCCCTGGTGTGCGCCACCCCGCCTGGCACATGAGCAGCTGATTACTCTAGTACAAGCCTTGCATTTATAACCCACCTTTTCCTTCCAAGGAGCCCAAGGAGGTGCACCTGTTTCTCCCCCCCCACTTCCATCCCAGCAACGACCCTGTGAGGCAGGCCAGGCTGAGAGGCAGGCAAGATGGCCCCCACGGTCCCCTAGGGAGCTTCCTGGTAGAGTGGGAGGATTTGAACCCAGGTCTCTCCCAAATCCTGGTCCTGGACTCTAACCACTATACACTTCTGGCTCTGGCATAGGTTGGTGGCACTTTTGCCACCCTGAGCTCACCCTAAACTCCCGCAAGTGTGCTGACCCAAGGCTATTTTCCCAGACATCTTAGTTACAGCCCATTCTGGATCTTGCTGGACTGAAGATAAAATTAAATTAAAGTATATTCATTTCTGTCATTGCTGCTGGTATTTGTTTCTCATATGCTCTCGTTTTAGGGTATTGTTTGGTTTTTTCAAAAAAAACCAAGGGCAGATTAAGTGCATCCAACAGATTCAAAACCCAATATTCGCACATTTAAAGTATTCTCTCCCCCTCTGAAAGCCTCATGGGTACTGTAGTTTGTTACGCTTCCTGGGAATTGTAGCTCTGTAAATTGTTCCCAGGATTTTCTGCGGGGAAACCATGTGCCATGCATGGGCATGGAATGAGCATGGAAAGTCTATTGTTGCATTGTTATAATTGTTTTATTGTGCCCTTCTTGGGGATCATTTATTTCTAATTATTACCATCAATAATTTATGTAAAATAAAAAAAGGAAAAACAATCCTTTAATTGCAACGAAGGGTTCAGCCAGCATATTTTTTTTTAAAAAAATAATAATTAAAATAGCGTATTCACCCAGTGTTTTACTAGTTGCACTGGCTCCCTGTGGAGTATCAGGTCAGGTTTAAGGTGCTGGTTTTTTTTTATTATTATTATTAATATTTTTTATTGCTTCTTTCCAAGTTCGGATACATCGTCAATGATTCAACAAAAGCGACTTTACAAAAAAGAAGAAAAGAAAATCACAAAAAAGAAGAAATTCACATTTTGCAAACAATTTTTCATAATCCACTGGACTTCCTCACCTCCTCCACCCCCTGCATTCTTTACCATAAATAAAAAGATGACAGCAAATTAATACCTTGTTTCATGCGTTTTTGTACTTTCATCTATTTGTATTTTAGATTTAGGGTACTTGTTATGTACTCACTTTTCCATCAATCCTGAAAATATAAACATTACTCTAAAATTTAGTCCTTTCACACTCATAACTTAATTTCCACCATAGTCAAATTTAGTTGCTGAAGTTTGTTTTCCCAAAGCTTAGCAAATTCTCAACATTCATATAACTTATAATATTTTTGCAAATAGTCTTAAAAATTTTTCCAGTCCTCTTCCACTGCCTCTTCTCCCAGGTCCCGGATTCTGCCGGTCATTTCGGCCAGTTTTAAGGTGCTGGTTTGAACCTTTAAAACCCTTTGTGGCTTAGGGCCCTCGTAAGTACGGCACCGCCTCTCCTGGTCTGCCCTGCAGAGGACCTTAAGGTCCATGAACAACCATAGTTGAGAGGTCCCGGGCCCTAAGGAAGTCAGATTATCCTCCACCAGGGCCAGGGCCTTCTCAGTGGTGGCTCCGATCTGGTGGAATGCTCTGTCCCAGGAGACCAGGGCCCTGCAGGATTCAACCTCCTTCCGTTGGGCCTGTAAGACAGAGCTATTCCGCCTGGCCTTTAATTTGAATTCAGCCTTTTATTCCCATTCCTTTCCTTTTTATAAAGATTACCTCCTCTGAGACCCCACAGCTAATTCTCTCCTGGCCTCCTCGCTGGCCCAAGTAGGACTAATTCAGTCAGCTAGCCCTGGGGATTATCTAATGCTTATTAGATGGATTTCCCCTAAATTGATTTCTGAACTTTGAATTTTATTGTTATTCATGTTTTTACATTGTATTTTATGCTGCTTTTTGTAGCATCAATTAAGGCTTTAAATTTGTTGTTAGCCGCCCTGAGCCCAGTTTCCTGAACCGGGAAGGGCGGGGTATAAATAAAAAATTATTATTATTATTATTCAGTAGAGCATGATCCTCTGAGTCTCAGGGTCGTGGCTTGGAAAAAACCCCCACATTTCAGGGGGTCAGACTAGATGACCCTTGCGCCCTCTTCCAAACATACAATTCCATGAGTCTAATATTAATTTTTTAACCCGACCTCCTCCTATGACCAACACGCACGGACCTCCTTTCCTCAGCGCTTCGCCCCTCACACAACACCCCCGCGAGGTAGGCCTCGTAATGGAGACTCCGTTTCCCGCCCACCGATTTTTCTCCTTTCGGACTCCAACTCCCATCAGCCCCTGCGGCGACTCCAATGTCAGGGCATGACGGGAGTCGTAGTCCAAAATGCCCGACGGGTCCGCACACGGGCTCCTCGTTCCCGAGGCGAAAGGTGGCGACTGGCCTCGCCGGAGGTGAGGGGATTTGAACCCCAGGCTCCCACCCGGGCGCCGCGCTCTCCTCAACGAGCCCACTAGCCCGAACGGCCTCCGAGGGGCCCTTCCCGAATATTCCTAACTCTATGGGAAGTGTGGGGAGCGTCACTTCCGGGAAGACGTCACCGTCGCCGCCGGAAGTCGCTGGACGCTGTTCTTGCGCCGCTCGGAAGCGCCTCTGGCTTCCTTCCCGCCGGTGCGGACGCGAAGGAGACCCGTCCGGCGGCCCGTTGCCATGGTGTTCTACTTCACGTCCAACGGTAGGCGGCGCGGGGGGGGGGTTGGGTTGAGGGGGGAGGCGCCGGCCACGCCCACCGCGCCCCTCCCGCTCTCCGTAGGACCTTGTTTTTTTTGGGGGGGGGGTCCTCGCCTCGGTTTATTCGCCCTTTATCTATTTATTATCATTATTTTTATTTCATTGGCATCCCCCGCTTTTCCTCAGAGGAGCTGAAGGGGGGGGGCGAGCAAGGAGGGGGGACCCCCCCCAAGAAGCACACCGTTTCATCCTCACAACAACCCCGCGAGGTAGTTCGGGGCTGTTGCTTCATCGCATCTCTCCCTTTCCCTCAGGGGAGCTCAGGGGTCCCGCACATAGTTCTACACACAGACACACACTCCAATTTCTTTATTTCTTATTTTTCAAAATGCAAAAAAGCAGTATACTGGGGGTGGGGGAGAATGATGATAACAACAACAACTAGAAGGGGAAGAACTGGAGGCAGTGAGAGATTTTACTTTCTTGGGCTCCATGATCACTGCAGATGGTGACAGCAGCTGCGAAATTAAAAGAGGCCTGCATCTTGGGAGAAAAGCAATGACAAACCTAGACAGCATCTTAAAAAGCAGAGACATCACCTTGCCAACAAAGGTCCGTAAAGTAAAAGCTCTGGTTTTCCCAGGTTAGCATAGGCTAGGCAAAACTATCACAAATGGGGAGCAGACATGAAGGAAAGACGAATTATGGTGATTAAGCAATCTGTGGTCCTAGTAGTTTGGAGAGCAAAGGGGCAAAAATATGGTCTGAAGCTCAACGTAAAAAAACCCCTGAAGATCATGGCCACTGGTCCCATCACCTCCTGGCAAATAGAAGGGGAAGAAATGGAGGCAGTGAGAGATTTTACTTTCTTGGGCTCCATGATCACTGCAGATGGTGACAGCAGCCACGAAATTAAAAGACGCCTGCTTCTTGGGAGGAAAGTGATGACAAACCTAGACAGCATCTTAAAAAGCAGAGACATCACCTTGCCAACAAAGGTCCGTATAGTTCAACCTCTGGTTCTCCCGGTAGTGATGTATGGAAGTGAGAGCCGGACCGTAAAGAAGGCTGATCGCCGAAGAATTGGATGCTTTTGAATTCTGGTGCTGGAGGAGACTCTTGTTTTTTTTGGGGGGGGGGTGGTCCTCGCCTTGGTTTATTCCCCCTTTATCTATTTATTAGGGACGCGGGTGGCGCTGTGGGTAAAACCTCAGTGCCTAGGACTGCCGATCGCATGGTCGGCGGTTCGAATCCCCGCGGCAGGGTGAGCTTCCCGTCTTTCGGTCCCAGCTCCTGCCCACCTAGCAGTTCAAAGCACCCTTAAGTGCAAGTAGATAAATAGGTACCGCTTTATAGCGGGAAGGTAAACAGCGTTTCCGTGTGCTGTGCTGGTGCTGGCTCACCAGCTGCAGCTTCGTCACGCTGGCCACGTGACCCAGAAGTGTCTTCGGACGGCGCTGGCTCACGGCCTCTTGAGCGAGGTGGGCACACAACCCTAGAGTCGGACACGACTGGCCCGTACGGGCAGGGGTACCTTTACCTTTATCTATTTATTATCATTATTATTTCATTGGCATCCCCCGCTTTTCCTCAGAGGAGTTGAAGGGGGGGCGAGCAAGGAGGGGGGACCCCCCCCCAAGAAGCACACCGTTTCATCCTCACAACAACCCGCGAGGTAGTTCGAGGCTGTTGCTGCTGTTGCTTCATCACATCTGCATCTCTCCCTTTCCCTCAGGGAGCTCAAGGGTCCCGCACATAGTTCTACACACACACACACACACACACACACACTCCAATTTCTTTATTTCTTATTTTCAAAATGCAAAAAAGCAGTATACTGGGGGAGGGGGAGAATGATGATAATACATGTACGTAAGATGCTTAGATACAGTGACCTAATATGAATATAGCTGGTTGAAAGCTTCAGGATGAGAAAGAATCGTGCTCCAACCCGGAGCAGCGGAGCCATTAGCTAAATGTGTGCAGTGTTAATACAGCTCGTTGCAAGGTGCGCTCTTTTCAGTAACAGGCCTCTGGAACGGATCCCTTTCGCAACAGAGGGCCACTGTAATAATAATATTATTTATATTATTATTATTATTATTATTATTATTATATTGGTATCTGAAGGAAGTGGCGCCATGCAAAGGCTCATTACCAATAACTAACTTAGCTGAGTCTCTGTAATACTGGAAGAATTTATTTATTATTTTTATTTACGTGGTGCCTCGGTTACAATACTACTTCAGGTACAGACTCCACTACCAGAAAATATTTTACAGGTTAAGAATTTGCTTCGAGATCAGAACAGAAATTGGCTTCCGCGCCCGCAGCGGAGCCCCATTAGCTAAGTGGTGGCTTCAGGTAAAATATTCAGTAAGAATGGACTCTGAACAATTAAGCTACTAAGAGGGTACCACTTATTTTGTCTTTGAATAAGTCAGATAGTTGCTTATTTCCTTGACATCTGATGGGAGGGGCATTCGGGCCAGGCAGGGCGTCACTTGACTTCCCTGTAACCTCAACTTCTCGCAGGGAGGGAACCGCCAGAAGGCCCTCGGAGCTGGACCCCGGTGTCTGGGGTGGAGACGCTCCTTCGGGTATACTGGACCGAGGCCGTTTAGGGCTTTCAAGTTCAGCACCAACACTTTGAATTGTGCTCAGAAACGTACTGGGAGCCAATGTAGGTCTTTCAGGACCGGTGTCATATGGTCTTGGTGGCTGCTCCCAGTCACCAGTCTAGCTGCCGCATTCTGGATTAGCTGCAGTTTTTGGGTCACCTTTAAAGGTAGCCCAATGTATTGCACATTGCAGTCGTCCAAGAGGGAAATAACCAGGGCGTGTACCACTCTGGCGAGACAGTCCGCGGGCAGGGAGGGTCTCATCCTGTGGACCAGATGGAGCTGGGAGACAGCTGCCCTGGACACAGATTTGACCTGTGCCTCCATGGACAGCTGTGAGTCCAGAATGACTCCCAGGCTGCGCACCTGGTCCTTCAGGGGTACAGTTACCCCATTCAGGACTAGGGAGTCCCCCTTACCCGCCTGCCCCCTGTCCCCACAAAACAGTACTTCTGTCTTGTCAGGATTCAACCTCAATCCTGAGAACCAGAATATACGTTTAAAGACTCTATGCATCCCATGGAGGGTTCAAAATGCAGCTTGTCCATGGCATCATATCTGCCTTGATTCGTTTTAAAAAAAGATTCTGAAGGAAAATGTTTCGTAGATTTCAGGCAACCTTAGCTGTGGGGTTTTTCCTTTGGCTGCTTTCATTGGGAAACATACTTTGGGGCAGAGGAAGCGCTGACAAATATCCTGTCCATGGCTCATTGCCGATTCAAAGTCTTTGGAGCTGATATGCACATCAGAATCCTGATCCACTTCTCTGAAAGCTTCAGCTACAGTCCCCTCTGGCAGCTTTGGGGCCACAACATTGAAGACTTTTAAAAAAAATCTCCCAAAGACAAAAATCAAGGGTGGCATACCTAGTTATCCCCCACTCTTCCATTTCATCCTCACAACAGTCCTGTGCAGTTGGTTGTTAGAATTATTGGGGGTTTCTTCTATTTTTATCCTTGCCAAAGCAGTGAGACTGAAGAGGGGTCGCCTCTTGGCATTTTCACATCTGGGCCACTTGAAAGAACTTCTGGGAGAACTTGTCCTGGAACAGAGCTTCTGAACCTCTGAGCTAGAGCAGGAACTAGAGCGGCTTGTGTTGTGGGTGGGATGCAAATATGTTGTGGAGGGGAACACACTGTATGTCTGTGTGGAGTTTGATTCGAAACTCTGGCTCATTTTGTTTCCCTTTTCCGTCCTCTCAGTTGTTCCTGGCGCTGCTTACACAATTTACATGGGAAAAGATAAATACGAAAGTAAGTACAGCACTCTGGCTATGCCTGTCAAGATGGAATCGATTTTATGTATTTTGTGTTTGACCCCATTTTTATTTTAAAACAGACCTTCTGATAAGTTGTGCATCTTCAGTCAGAACTCATTGGCTCTTTGGTATGGCAGAAAACAAGCCTTTATCCTGATCAGTGGGGATTCCCCTGCCCAGCATTCTTTTTGAAAACAAAAACCATTTTAGGATTAAATCCCTGACACTTTATGATAGCTTGATACAAAACAGTGTCCAGGAGTAAAATTCATGGGAAACATAAGTACCTCTAGAGACGTTGAAGTGAAAGGCAACTGCATTAACACTAATTTAATATAAAAACATGCAAAAAAAAAGTCTGCCCTTAACCAATTCAATTCAATTCAAAATCCTTTATTAGGCATAACACACCACACATTAACAAACAAACATCATATACAGACTGTATAAAATACAGGCTCAGCGAACACAATTTATCCCAGTCCTAATCTTAGCTCCAAGAAATAAATCGATGTACATAGAAAATATAATATAACACAGCAACATCACCTACCATTAAAAACCACTAAGTCTCTTTATCATGGCCCATTCTTTCTTCATGGACAGCACTTAAAAATTCAGCCACTATTAAAGTAATTTGATCATCGCTGTCCGCCAGCAGGTCCTGAACAGTTGGTTGTGTAAAAATCTGTCTATTAAATTTTAGGGCCTCAAATAATTGTCTTCTGGCATAACTGCCAAAATCACAGGGGGGAAAAATATGCTCTAGAGTATCGGGTTCCTGTTTTCTGCATTTGCAGAGACTCTCTGATTCTGGGATAGCTAAGTATCTTCCTCTCACTACCACCGAGGGAAACATGTTAAATCTGGCCAACATAAACAGCCTACACGATTCATGTTTCTTCAGATTTGTCATGTATCCCTTTTGGAAATCTCTACACAAAGGCAGATTTAAGTGGATAGGAGAGCAGGTGCTGTGCTTTGCAACCTCAAGCATGGCGAGAACACTTTTTTCTGTAAGAGTCTTCCTGATAATTTCCCATGTATCTTTGGGATCAGAGATTTCAAAGTCAGTTAGAGTGAGCCCTATCGAATCCAGTTTTCTCCTACAAATCAATGATAGATTGTAGATTGCACTATCACTTAAAAGATCGTAAAGTAGAGAATTAGGGGATAACAACGCAACAACGTCTAGAGGAGCCAGTGGATGGGAATTTGCCTGGTTCCACGTTTTCTCTGGCTTGCAGCCACCTATGTGTCCCCAAAATCTGCTCTGCAAGCGCTGGAAGGGAGGGAAACCCAAAATCTTGTTGCATAAGCATGCAGACATCGTTGGTGTTTGTCTCGAGAGACAATAGTGTGCCTCCAAAGGTGAAGTCAAACTGCTGCCTTAGCAGCACGAAGTGACCTCCTTAGGGTGCAAACCTGGGCAGTGTGCATGGAGGTCCTGGACTGCCCAATTGAGAAGACCCCCCCCCCCTTGGTCTCACTGATGTGGTTCAAAGGAAAGCAGAGCAGGACGTTTGGCACCAGCAGGAGCTCCTGGAAGGAGGCATTCAAGGTGCCCCCCAACTGTCTTAGGGACTCCACTCCCGATTTGTATAGGGTTTACTCCATGGGTAGGCAAACTAAGGCCCGGGGGCCAGATCCGGCTCAACTACCTTCTAAATCGGCCCGCAGACGGTCCGGGAATCAGTGTGTTTTTACATGAGTAGAATGTGTCCTTTTATTTCAAATGCATCTCTGGGTTATTTGTGGGGCATAGGAATTCATTCATTTTTTTTCCTTTCAAAATATAGTCAGACCCCCTACAAGGTCTGAGTGACAGTGGACCGGCCCCCTGCTGAAAAAGTTTGCTGACCCCTGGTTTACTCCTTAGCCTTTTCTCTTCCCGAAGAGATCCCACAAGGCAGGATAGGTTTAGGATTAAGAGCTTTTCTTCTCCTAGGTGGGCTACCTTCCCAGGTTGGCAAGCCCCATCTGCCCCTCACTTCCCTCTACAGCATGTGCAGAAACTGGCTTCTAGATCCGCTATTGGGGATGGAACTAATAGAGTCAATTCTTGGGTGCCTCAGACCGCATTTCAGCAAAAGGCTGATGCCATAAACACATTTATGTTATTTCTGCGTAAAATGTTCCTCATTTGAGCCAAACGCTGATGAAAATTAGCATTTTTTAATAAGGGCATTTTCTTGCTTTTAGTGAACTTCCTAACATAGGACTGTGAGCAAGTGCTTGATCCGTGATCTCAGCCCCACTGAGATTGGGTGGGGGATTTTATCTTAAAACTGGAATTCAAGGAGGCTAGTCAGGCAATTCTGATGTATAAACTGGCATTTAGCTAAATGGTGTGTATCTGTATCCAATTTTTGTCAAGACGCAAAAGCTTTGAAATGCTTTCTCAAAAGCAAGTCATCTCATAGATTCTTTTTTTCTGATTAGTTTGTAGCCCGAAAGTTGCCTGACTTTCAAAAGAAAGGGAAAACTGTTTCTACTTACATTGTCACAGACTTTCCAATGTTATAATATTGAAATTGCAGAAGCAATTTTTTTTGGTAGGAGTTCAAGAAAGTAATGAGCGGTTCCTTGAAATACATCAGCTGGTTGATTATTTTTGCACATGCAACTGTTAAAATTACTCTTTGATGGTCACCCATGACTTTTCAGATACCAACCTTATTTTTAATCCTAAGGAAAATGTTTTCCAGAGTTGTACTGTTGTTTGAGCTTGGTCCCTTTAAAATAATATTTGAAATCTCCTCTGAATTTATGTCCTCTCTACCAGGCAATTGTCCCAAATTGTGCTAATCTAAGAAGTTTTTCATAAGATTAAGTAGCAATCATCTGTCCCTTTTTGTTAAGGGTCACTTAAATTTATGCACTGAAATATGAGGTCATTTTCACAGACATAAATATATTTAGTAATATTAATTACACAGGGCCTTTCCCTACTTACTTATACAGTGGTACCTCGCAAGACAAAAAACTCACTAGACGAAAGGCTTTTTTGTTTTTTGAGCTGCTTCGCAAGACGATTTTCCCTATGGGCTTGCTTCGCAAGACGGAAACGTCTTGCAAGTTTGTTTCCTTTTTCTTAACACCATTAATACAGTTGTGACTTGACTTCGAGGTGTGGTAGCCTTTTTTGAGGTTTTTAAAGACTTTGGTGATTTTTGAAGCTTTTCCAAAACTTTCCCGACACCGTGCTTCGCAAGACGAAAAAAATCGCAAGACGACAAAACTCGCGGAACGAATTAATTTCGTATTGCGAGGCACCACTGTATTTGCTGTACAGTGGTGGTTGTTTAGAGCACCTTTATTGAAATGAGACAGCTACTTCCAGATTATTTCTGAGCTACGGTAATCTCCCAATATCTCTCTTGAAATCTGTTTGTGCTTTTAAACTGAAGAAACATTTAGCAGCACAATCCTGTGCACGTCTAACCAGATGAAGCCAAAGTATAAAAGGTTAGACCTCTATTGTCTCACGATACTTAACGTGTGCACAAAGCATTTCCCTTGCAGAGACAACCAATGGAAGCATGTGTGTCTGCATCACCTTTTTGAACTGCTAGTGTTGCATTAATCGTTCAGCAGTGCTACACATCTGCTCAGATCCAGTTAGGAACTTCAGCATTCAAAATTTGCAGCATGGTTCAAACTGAAATAATGGTTCCTGTCTTGAAAGTTTAGTACTGAATTCCATTGTTTCCAGAGAGATCTTCCTGTTTCACAGTTTGGTTTGTGACCCAGTGGACTCTAGTGATAATCTCTGTCCCAAAGGTCCAGTTGTAACCTGACTCTCAGGGAGGACTGAGAGGGAATTATTTCTGCTAACTGCTTGGCTTGGCTTTTTTCTTGCAGATGAAGACCTAATAAAACATGGCTGGCCGGAAGATATTTGGTAAGTACTGATCTGAGCCTCTCTTTATGCCCTGGGGTGCAAGGTTTCAATAAGGTAGCAAGGACTTCTGAGTAAGATTAGCAGACATGAAATAAGAGATGTGGATAAGGAACTGGTTAAGTAGCAAGAAGCAGAGAGTAGAAATAACTGGACGGTTTTCCAAGTGGGGGAATGTAGAAAGTGCCATCTCCCGAGGATCTGAATTGGGACCTTGGCTTTTTAACTTGTTCTTAAATGGTCCAGACAGGGGTGAGCAGTGAGGTGGCTGAGTTTGCTGAAATTCTTCAGGGTGGCTAAAACAAAAACAGATTAAGAAGAGCTCCAACAGGACCCTTCCAAACTGAGTTAATGGGTTCTAATGGCAAATGTAGTTTGGCAGTGACAGTTATCATAGAGTTTGAAAAGGTTCAGAAAAGCGCAACCTCCACCATGAGGAAAGGTTACAGTGTTTGGGACTTCTTAATTTAGAGAAAAGGCAAGCAAGAGGTGACATAAAATTTAAAAACATTGTGCATAGTGTGGAGAAACCAAATAGAGATATTTTTCTCTCTCATAACGTTAGAACTGGTTGACATCAAATGAAAATGAACGTTGGAACTTCCAGGAAAGATAAAGTCCTTCTTTGTGCAGCACAGAGATGGACTATGGAGGTTGCTCCTGCATCAGGCAGTGATGGCCACCAACTTGGATGGCTTAAAGAGGATTAGACACATTCATGGAGCATAAGGCCATGGGTCGGCAAACTAAAGCCCGTGGGCTGGATCAGGCCCAATTGCCTTCTGGATCCGGCCCGTGGATGGTCCGGGAATCGCTGCGTGGATTGCTGGCACACGCATTCTTTCCCTCTCTCTCCCTCACACGGCAGCGGCACCTCCTCCCTCCCTCCTCCTGGCTTCTCCCTGCCCTGCCTAGAGGAGGAAGGGGGTTGGGCTTTGTTGGTGGCGGCAGCAGCAGCAGCGCTTGAGCAGCCCCTCTCCGGAGCCCTTTCGCGCACCGCTCCTCATCCCGCCACCGCCAGCCCCTGTCACTCACCACCGGGGCTTGTGGTGCTCTTGCATCTTTCCCCCCCTTTAAAATATAGTCCGGCCCCACACAAGGTCTGAGGGACAGTGGACCGGCCCCCTGCTGAAAAAGTTTGCTGAGCCCTGCATAAGGCTATCCGTGACTATTAGCCAGGAGGGCTCTGCTCTGCCCCCGCAGTCAGGGGCAGCAACGCTTGAGAAACCAGTTGCTGGAATCCGCAGGAGGGGAGGGTGATGGTGCTCTTGTGTTCGGATCCCGCCTGCGGGTTTACCATTGGGGCATCTGGTCAACCACTGTGAGAACAGGAGACTGGACTAGAGAGGTCATTGGCCTGATCCAGCAGATCCTCTTCTTTTGTACTTGTCATGGTCACTAGTCTGTGAAATGAATTGCGCTCCTTAGTAAAGCTGACAGCAAAATCACATTTTAGAGCCCTTCCTGCGCTGCATTGTATAAGACTGGAGGTGGGATCCTATTTTTAAATGTTACTCTAAATGCAAAGAAAAGCTTATCATTCCCCCTCCCCCAGTATATCAGGGGCCAGAACCTTGATTTGATAGTTTCCCACAAAACAGGTGTGAGTTCTTAGTATATGTGTATATATATATATATAAATGCAGCAGCATTCAATGATTCAAGATTGTCTTGTTCTGTTCCCACCCCCCTTTCCCAAAAAGGTTCCAGTGATAATTTCCCAACATCCAGTTGCGATGTTTGTTGTCCTGCCAAGTGTTTTGTACTACTGGAGTCTCCTTCCTTATATTTCCCCTTTAATCTGAGTCCAGCTGGCTCCAGGCCTTTCCGTGTCTACTTTGCTATCTTTTTGGCAATTTTATTTCTGTAATCCCTTGTTAGCTTTGTAATTTTTATCTGCTGTCTCTTATTACATTTGCTAATGCTGGTGTTTTATTCTGTTAGACTTTAACTAATATATAACTCCACGGTCTCCTGGGATCAGTTTTGACAAAGGCAGTACAGAAAAGTTGTAAATTTATGATCTCGTGAGAAGCCACAAAGAACTGTTGTAAAGGACTGGATGTTAAATGATCGGGTTCCTGGCAGACAAAAGCACTTCTGCCTTGGCACAGAAAGTGGTGCCTAGGTTGCACCCAAAGGCAGAGAGGATCCAAAGGAGTTAACATGATAATCTTTTTCCACTTCAGTAGATCCACCAACAGATTTCACACAAGCCATTTTGTATATTAAGCAAGCAAATGCAGCATAAACCCACAAAACGTTTAATTCTCTCTCTCTCTCTCTCTTCCCACCATTAACCCCCAAAAGGTTGCTGTGCTTTTTATTTTGGTTTATTTAAAATATGAAGAATGAAATGAGCAGTTAAAGCAATGGCTACAGTGAATAATGTAAGCAATGAAAATAGTTGACCAGAGAGCAGGTGAGGGCAGAGTATGAAACAGAAACTAGGAGCTGCTGCGTGTTCCCTCGTGACCTTCCTCTTGTAGATGCTGCCTCTTTGAGCCACAGTGGAGAGGGGCTTGTAGACCAGTCAGACGGGTGGACCAGTCAGCTTCATCCTTCAGTAATAATAATACCGCATTTTTTGCTCCATAAGACACACTTTTCCCCTCCGAAAAAGTAAGGGGAAATGTGTGTACGTCTTATGGAGCGAATGCAGGCGGGAGGCAGGCGGGAAAAGCCCCCAAAAGCCGCACACACGCTCTGCACGGCTCTTGCGGACTTTTCCCCGAGGAGAGAGAAGGGCAGCCTGTCACTGACAGGCTGTCTTTCTCCCACCTCGTAGAAAAGCCCGCAGGAGCTGCGCACCCTTTAAAAAACACACACACACTCTGCACACTCTTTAAAGGGAGCGCGGCTCTTGGGGGAGCCTTAGCCGCACACAGCCTCTCCCGGGCAGGGGATGAAGTCTCCCCTTGCCTGGGAGCAGCTGCGCACGGCTTTCCCATAAACCAGGACAGCCAGTGGGATTGCTGCGCTGCGATCTCGCTGGCTTTCCTGGCTTCTCGGATTAAGAATAGTTTTTTTCTTGTTTTCCTCTTCCAAAAACTAGGTGCGTCTTATGGTCTGGTGCGTCTTATAGAGTGAAAAATACGGTGATTAAAAAAACCTTTTGTTTGTATCCCGCCCTCCCCGGCCGAGACTGGGCTCAGGGCGGCTAACATCAAATATATAACATGGGTATAAAATCAAACAATAATTAAATTACCTCCTAAAAACAAGTCAGAGTCAAATTAAAATCTAATTAGATGGCTTTCTGCAGGATTAGGGTTGGGAACAGTAAATGTTCTTCAGGCCCAAGTGTTTACGCTGTTCTTATATGGGCCTGGGAGAATACTGGTTCATACTAGTTCTTATACAACAAGAGAAGGGGAGTCAGGCTGAGCCGTGGCCAAAGGCCTGGCGGAACAACTCCGTCATGCAGGCCCTGCAGAAAGATGTCAAATCCCGCAGGGCTCTCATCTCTTGTGACAGGGTGTGACTGAAGGTGTCTGATGTGTCTGGAACATTTTTAGGGCCCAAGCAATCAATTCTTCCCCTCCAGGTCTCGTTGGGCAACAAGGCAGACTACCCAGGTTTGTTGAAAATTCTTAGCCATTGGAAGGTAGCGTAAATGCAAGCTTCAGACTGGGATGAGTCATAGACTGGCTCTATTCCTTGGAGGGGGAAATGGCTATAGAGGTTTTTGTAAACCTCTCCACCTCCATCGTTCTGCCTGGACACTGAGGTCCAGCGCCGAGGGCCTTCTGGCGGTTCCCTCGCTGTGAGAAGCCAAGTTACAGGGAACCAGGCAGAGGGCCTTCTTGGTAGTGGCGCCCACCCTGTGGAAGGCCCTTCCACCAGATGTCAAAGAGAAAAATAACTACCAAACTTTTAGATGGCATCTGTAGGCAGCCCTGTTTAGGGAAGCTTTTAATGTTTAATAGGTTATTGTATTTTAGTGTTCTGTTGGAAGCTGCCCAGAGTGGCTGGGGAAACCCAGCCAGATGGGCGGGGTATAAATTATTATTATTATTATTATTATTATTATTATTATTATTATTATTATTATTTGTAAAGCAGGGCAACACTGCACCCTATGGACAATGCTGGAGAAGGTCCCTGTTTCAGCCCCTAGCGCAGGGGTCTGCAACCCGCGGCTCCGGAGCTGCATGTGGCTCTTTTACACCTTTGCCGCGGCTCCGGGGCGGATACTAGCGAGGGGAGGAGGCGCATTGTGCGCCCCGACACTCCCCACTGTGGCGGGCGCTGTACTGGCTGTGACGTCGCATGGGGGCGGTGCGTGCATTAGTCACGCACCGTCCCGATGTCACCTTCCTGCCCGCTGTCAGATCGCGGCTCCAGAGATATATTTGTTTTAAATGTCACAATGGTTTTGCGGCTCCCAGTTGTTGTTTTTTCTTCAGAAACGGGTCCAAGTGGCTCTTTTTGTCTTAAAGGTTGCAGACCCCTGCCTAGCGGCATCTCCAAGGTAGGGCTGGGAAGGTCCCCTTCCTGAAACCCCGGAGAGCTGCTGCCAGTCAATTTTAGACAGTACTGAGCTGGGTAGACCAATGGCCTGACTCTCTATAAGGCAGCTTCCCATGTTCCTGTCGGCCAATCTGGCCAGGGCTGGTAGGACTTGGGAGTCAGACAACATCATCAGGTTCCTCACCCGCTTCTAAAGCTCCACATAAGAACCTAAGAAGGGCTTGCTGGATCAGGCCAGTAGCCCATCCAGTCAAGCACCCTGTTATCACAGTGGCCGATCAGATGCCCCATTCAGAAATCCTTAAGCAGGATTCGATCACAAGAGCCCTCTCCCCTCCTGTAGTTTCCACTAGTTGGTATTCAGAAGCATTGCAGATCTGACTGCAGAGGCAGAGCCGAGCCATCGAGAGCCCTCTCTTCCTCCGTGATGTGTGAGCAAGTTCCATGGTTTTGCTGTGCGCAGTGTGAAGGCGGCCTAGTCTCATTCATCTCGCATTGCTGGCCTTGGGATCGCTAGAGGGAGCACTCGGCTCAGAGGGAATTGGCGCTGTTTTAGCAGCTGTTTCCTTCAGCCTTTCAATTTCCTCTTCAGGCCATTGCATACTTTTGCAGAGATGTGAGCGTGATAAGCCATAAAAATTCCTTTCCCCGCTATCAAGTATGCATGCTTTAAGATGCTGATGGCCAGGTGGCAGCCAGCCTCTTGCAGCGGTACACAGGGCAACATTTCTTTGGGGTTGAATCATCTCCTCACTCAAATCTGTGCTGTATTGTGTGCAGGTTCCATGTGGACAAGCTCTCCTCTGCCCATGTCTACCTCCGGCTGCACAAGGTAAACAGCCTTCTCTGCTTCTTGCCCTCTGTGGTGGTTCTTACTCAGCCAAGTGGTGGGGAGGGAAGGAGGGAGGGCCACTTGTCCACTTTGGGGGCTGCAGCCATCACCCCCTCCTCTCAGGGCCTGTTAGCACCAGCTGCTGAAAACTATCATGTTTAAAAGAGGTCCTCTGATATATGCTTGTAACACTCTGCAGGTTTTGTCGGAGTTGATCAAGGCCATTTTATTATAAAGCCTATAAAATATTCTGCATAAAAGAACAAGCCCCTGTGACTGGCTTTCTTCAACATCTCGTAGCCTCTGAAAGCTACCGTATTTTTCCATGTATAAGACACTCCCATGTATAAGACGACCCCTATTTTTGAAGCCCCAAATTAAGAAATAATTAATTGCAACATTCCATGTATAAGACGACCCCCAATTTTAAACTTAAAAAATTTGGGGGGGAAATACAGTCTTATACATGGAAAAATACAGTAAATCCACTGATTGTGGGGTATGATTTTGCAGACTGTGTTGGATGCATCTACTCTGCACAGTTTTATTCCGTGATTTTCTTAGTCTTTAAAGTGCTGCAAAACTATTCGGGTTATATCCAATTAAGTTCTACTGAGAGCAGACCCGTTGGAATCTCTGGATTTTGATGGGTCTACTCCGACTAATTTGGTGGTTATCTTTGCAGTAACAGACTAATTGCAGTGGCCCTGCGCTGGCAGTTTGGTTGCAGGGACCCCTGGCTCTGCCTGCAGAACCCACTTCCTTCCCAGCATGCCTTTTGCCTGTTCCTCCACGCAAGCTGCTCACTTTCTACCTTGCTTCCTTTCAGGGGCAGACGATGGAGGACATCCCAAAGGAGGTTTTGATAGATTGCGCCCACCTGGTGAAAGCCAACAGCATTCAAGGTAAGGCGTTGCTGTTCTGCAGCATGCCCTGGCCTGGAGAAACCAGCAAGGATTCAGAGAGGAATCATGGGTGGAGAATGAGGCCTTTGGGGGCAGCTGGAGCCAGCTGACACTGCCCTGATGGCGTGGCTTCTCCCACCCGTCGCCTCGCAAGGGGCAGGCATCGCAGGAGCTGCTTAAGACGTCCTCCCTTCCCTCCTTTCCCAGCCCAGTCAACAACCATCTCTCTGATGGATATCATTTCTGTAGAGGTGCCCAGTCTCTTGGGGTACAGCTGCTGACATTGCATTGTTGCCAACCTAAAGGACTCTTATTCTTTATATTCATTACATTTCTATCCCACCATTTTCCTCCTCAGGGTGGTGCACATGGCTCTCCCCCTTTCCTCAATTTAATCCCCACAACAACCCTGTAAAGTAGGTTTGGCTGATGAGAGGCAGGGACTGGCCCCCCAAGGTCACCCAGCGAGCCTCATGGCCAAGTGGAGATTCGAACCCTGACCTCTCCCAGGACCTAGTCCAACACTAACCACCATACACCATGCTGGCTTACCGAGTTGTTAGGAAATAGGGTTGAACGTGGGTGTGCGGGAGAGAAGAATCGGCTTGGTGAACAGAATGGCCCCCTTTCTTCTTCCAGGCTGCAAAACGAATAATGTCAACATTGTGTACACTTCCTGGGCCAACTTAAAGAAGACGGCAGAAATGGACGTGGGGCAGATCGGGTTTCACAACCAGAAGGACGTAAGTGTCTTGCCCCCGCTCCCATCTTCTCAGATGCCCACCTCCTGGCTCCAGAGAAACAGCGGGAGGTTTGCCGCATGGGTAAAGTGAGGAAGGAGTGGGTGGGAGTTCCTGCTGCCATGCTTCAGGCATCGCAACACCGCACCTTTTGGCTCATATCCCACTGAGGTTACAGTCTGTGTGGTGCATGGATTGCTGGTGGGGGCTGGTTTGCAGGGGGGAACTGCGTTCGCGCTGCCAAGCTGTGTGTTATGCAGCAACCATTTATGATTTCATGTGAGAAGCCACAAAGATTAAGTAAGGTTTGAAGTGAACAGAGGCTGTATGCCACTCTCTCGTGTGTGTGTGTGTGCGTGCGTGTGTGTGCGTGTGTGTGCGTGCCTGCCTGCCTCTGTTGTTGTTGTTTAGTCGTTTAGTCGTGTCCACCTCTTCGTGACCCCCTGGACCAGAGCACGCCAGGCCCTCCTGTCTTCCATCTGCCTCCCGCAGTTTGGTCAAACTCATGCTGGTAGCTTCGAGAACACTGTCCCACCATCTCATCCTCCGTCGTCCCCTTCTCCTTGCGCCCTCCATCTTTCCCAACATCAGGGTCTTTTCCAGGGAGTCTTCTCTTCTCATGAGGTGGCCAAAGTCTTGGAGCCTCAGCTTCAGGATCTGTCCTTCCAGTGATCACTCAGGGCTGATTTCCTTCAGAATGGAGAGGTTTGATCTTCTTGCAGTCCATGGGACTCTCAAGAGTCTCATCCAACACCATAATTCAAAAATGCCTGCCTCTATCCACAGTTTTTTTTTTTCCAAGTTAACAACGAAGATTGTAGTTTATTGCAAACACAACTGAACTTTATTTATTTTTTTTAAAAAAAATTATTAAACATTTCAACATAACAAATTACCAAAAACATATCATCTTCATTCCCCCCTTCCCCTCCCCAAATAACCCTCCCTCCCCCCCAGACTTCCCTCAGCTCCTCTCTCTGTTTTTTCAACCTATGTTATTCTCTGCATATTATAAAATTGTAAAGATCCTTAAATTATCTATGTATTATGTTAACAATATCCACAATTATTATTAATTAATAATGTTAGTAATATCCACAGTTAATTTAAAGCTACCAACCTAGAAAAGGGAAAGATGGAGGGCGCAAGGAGAAGGGGACGGCAGAGGACGAGATGGTGGGACAGTGTTCTCGAAGCTACCAGCATGAGTTTGACCAAACTGCGGGAGGCAGTGGAAGACAGGAGTGCCTGGCATGCTCTGGTCCAGGGGGTCACGAAGAGGCGGACACGACTAAACGACTAAACAACAACAACCAACCTAGATGGCTTTAAAAGAGGATTAGACAAAATCTTGGAGGGGGAGAGGGCTACTGATGGCTACTAGCCAGAATGGCTAGGCTCTGCCTCCCCAATTTGAGGCAGCAGTGCTTCCAAATGCCCGTTGCTGGACACTGCAGGAGTGGGAGAGGGCTCTTGCTTGCATGTTTCCCGTAATGGGCATCTGGTTGGGCACTGTGAGAACAGGAAGCTGGACAAGGTGGGCCCTTGGTCTGCTCCAGCAGGCTCTTATTAGGTTCTTAAGTTGTTTAGCACTCTTATTATTCTGACCTGGTGGCACCTTCTGCTGCTTCCTACGTTCAGATCAATTCAAAGTGCTGTAGGCTCACTTCATTGGTCAAAGGTCTTGGAAACGATGCCTTATGAGGAACGGCTAAGGGAGCTGGGCATGTTTAGCCTGGAGAAGAGGAGGTTAAGGGGTGATATGATAGCCATGTTCAAATATATCAAAGGATGTCACATAGAGGAGGGAGAAGGGTTGTTTTCTGTTGCTCCAGAGAAGCGGACACGGAGCAATGGATCCAAACTACAAGAAAGAAGATTCCACCTAAACATTAGGAAGAACTTCCTGACAGTAAGAGCTGTTCGACGGTGGAATTTGCTGCCAAGGAGTGTGGTGGAGTCTCCGTCTTTGGAGGTCTTTAAGCAGAGGCTTGACAACCATATGTCAGGAGTGCTCTGATGGTGTTTCCTGCCTGGCAGGGGGTTGGACTCGATGGCCCTTGTGGTCTATTCCAACTCCATGATTCTATGATTTATGTGCTTTGTTTTGGTTGCAGCCTTTCTGTTAGGAAAGTGTGCTGAAGCTCTTTTTAAGCTGAGTCAGAGATGCGCTGTGGGTTAAACCACAGAGCCTAGGGCCTGCCAATCAGAAGGTCGGCGGTTTGAATCGCCGTAACGGTGTGAGCTCCCGTTGCTTGGATCCCTGCTCCTGCCAACCTAGCAGTTTCAAAGCACCTCAAAGTACAAGTAGATAAATGGGTACCGCTCCGGCGGGAAGGTAAACGGCGTTTCCGTGTGCTGCTCTGGTTCGCCAAAGCGGCTTAGTCCTGCTGGCCACATGACCCGGAAGCTGTACGCTGGCTCCCTCGGCCAATAAAGCAAGATGAGCGCCGCAACCCCAGAGTCGGCCACGACTGGACCTAATGGTCAGGGGTCCCTTTACCTTTACCTTTGCAGAGATGCGCATAGGTGAGGTCAAGATCCATGTTTGCTGGGCAGACCGGTGAAGCCCCACCTGCATCACCTTTAGTTGGGAGGGGCTGAGTCTCCACTGCCTCCCATCACCTGTTCATTTTCAGAGGGGGTGTGCAGGGCTCTTGGAGATGACGACAGGGATTGAGCTGGGTGCTTTGCATGCTTCTTGTCATCATCCTGGAATGTGCTTGTGTGTTGGGCCTTAAGATGCCTCGAGACTCTTTTGGTCCCCCCCCCCAAATAAAAAAATAAAAAATACCTTAGAAAATGAGGTTGGGAACATAAGAAGAGCCTGGTGTCCCATCTAGTCCAGCATCCTGTTCTCAGGCGCCCCCATTGGGAAGCCTGCAAGCAGGATTCAAGCACAAGAGCAACTCTTCCCTGCTGAGATTTCCAGCAGCCTCGAACTGTGGAGGCAAAGCATGGCCGTCATGGCTAGCAACCATTGATAGCCGTCTCCTCCATGAATTTGTCTACTCCTCCTTCAAAGCCTGCTGGGAAGAGACTCTGTCCAGAGCTCCCAGACTGGGCCAAATGGGCCAATGCCTTGACTTGTTTACAAGGCCCCTTGCAAAGTTCATGCTCCTCCCATGTTCAGCATTGTCCTTGCAAACCCAGGGCCTAAAAGCACATCACCTCCCTCCCCACTTTGTGTGTGTGAAAAGTTCAGCCTGGAATTGAAAGGAAAGCCGCCGGCCAGAGGCGAACCTGTAAAACACAGTCAGTGGCCTATAATGGGGAATGAGAAACCCCGTTTTGTTCTCCTCCTCTTTCCAGGTCCTGAGCTACTCCAGCCAGCTGAACATTTCAGGGGTGCCTTTTTTGACTTCAACACTTACATGGGCCTGTGGCTTGTTGATGCGTTTTATCCCTCTCCTCCAATGGCCTCCAAGAGGGGATGGATGCAGTGAGCCAGCCAGCCTGGCCTCCTGGGGGTGTGCTTTGGCCGTTGCGCAGGCTTCCTGTCCTACTCTGGGCGAGTGATGTAATCTCTTGAGCCTGGAAAAAAGAAACCTTTCCAATGACATCAATGACATCGAATCAGATACCAGAGGCCCTGTAGCATGGGATTAATTTTTTAAAAAATGTATTTTTAACCAAATGAAGGCAGGAAGTTGCTGGCAGGAAGACTCATGCGCAGGAGAGCAGGGCCCTGGGCTTTTCTTCCTTGTGTTGACTTCGTGGGGGTGGGAAAGATGAGGTTTGTCGGGGATGCAGTGCCTGTGGTGAGTGCCTGAGGGCCCTGCTCTTGCCACTTACCATCTGGCCTGGGGCGGGGCCTGGGGCCTCACAAGGACTGCTCTGCTGCCCAGGAAGACTCCCCTGTAGTGAGTGCCTGAGGGCCCTGCTCCTTCTTGCCACTTACCACCTGGCCCAGGGAGGGCCTGACAGGCCTCACAAGGACTGCTCCTGCCACTTACTATCTGGCCCAGGGTGGGGCCTCACAAGGATGGTTGTTGCCATTGATGCTGCTACTGCCCAGGAGGACCCGGAGGAGTGCAGAGCTCTTTTTAACATGTTTTGTTTTGTTTTTTAATATTTCCCTTTCCCTTTCTATTTTATATATGGGGGTGGGATGGATGTTTGGGTGGGCTGGGGAATTTGTTAGATTTTGATGAATTTGTAATTTTTGCAGTTTTTGTTTGTATTGTTTTATTGTTTTCTGGGTTGTTTTTGTTTTTTGTTTTTATTGTTTTAAGGTTTTATTGTTTTAGGCTGCGAAAGAATAATATTAATTGCCATCAATGGAGGCCACTATGAGGCCTGGGATTGCTACCGTGGATGGGGCGAGGGAGGTATGGCGGTGGGGGCAGATGTTATAGGCGAAGGGGATCGAGATATGGATACGCTCGTACCCTTTCCAATCTGCGCCCCATCCCGAGGGACGAGGGTAGGGTGAGCAAGGATTACTCACCTCCGTCACTGGTGCTGTGCAATGCCAGGTCTATAGGCAATAAAACCGCCACCCTGCGAGATTTCTTTATCTCGCAGGGGGTCGACCTGGCTTGTGTGACGGAGACCTGGGTGCGCGAAGGGGATACTGTTACCTTACGAGAGATGGCGCCCCCGGGTTTCTCCGTCCTCCACCAGTCGCGGACTGTGGGCCGGGGGGGAGGGGTGGCATTATTAATCCGGGAAGATTGTCCTTTCAGGGCTCTACCACCGCCATCGATCCCCGGCATTGAATGTGTTGGCCTAGTGTGGGGCTCCGAGGAGAGCTTGGCTGTCTGGCTGGTGTACCGGCCACCTAGCGCACCAGCAGCCACCCTGTCAGGCCTGCTGGAGGTGGTGGCCGGCTGGGCCTTGGAGTTCCCTAACCTATTGGTATTGGGGGACTTCAACATCCATGCTGATGCCACTCCCTCCTCACAGGCTCTGGACCTGGTGTCTTCCATGGCGACACTAGGGCTCTCCCAGTTTGTTTCGGGCCCCACACATCAAGCAGGCCACACGCTGGATTTGATCTTTGGCGTCGGTATAGATGTGATCATGTTTCCTTCGATGAAGGTGCCATGGTCTGATCACTACGCTCTGAAAGCCAGGATTGACTTTCCACCCCCACCCTGCTTAGGTGGCGAGCCAATTTGGGCTCGCCCGCAGAGGCTGATGGACCCTGAGAGATTCCGCCAAGCCTTGCGGGACCTTGCCCCCCCTGGCGACTCATTGACTGAGCTTGTTGAGGGCTGGAATACCCAGCTCCTGGCAGCCATCGATGAGATCGCACCTAAGCGCCCTCTGCGACCCCGCAGAAACCGGGCTCCCTGGTTTACAGAGGAGCTCCGGAAAATGAAGCGGGACCTCAGACGGCTAGAGCGAGTATGGCGGGGTGCCCGTGACGGAGCCTCAAGAACATCTTATAGGGCTTTTATGAAAACCTACGAGATGGCGGTGAAGGCTGCTAAGAAGTCATACTTCTCGGCCTCCATTGCATCCGCTAGCTCTCGCCCAGCGCAATTATTTAGTATAATCAGGTCTTTAACGTCCCTTGAGGGACAGCCAAATTTAAATAACAATTTGACACACAGCTGTGAGGCATTTGCGAGCTTTTTTGCGGAGAAGGTCCTGTTGCTCCGCCATGACCTCCCTGCCAATTTGGATACAATAAAGGAACTGGAGGCCCTCGACTGTCCTCGGGTCCAGTATTGGACCACTTCGACCGGATATCCCCAGCCGATGTGGACAGACTCCTCTGAGCTGGAAAGCCCACCACCTGTCCTCTTGACCCGTGCCCGTCTTGGCTGATTAGAGTGTGTCCAGACGAGGTGCGGGCCCTCCTGGGGGATATCATCAATTTGTCCCTTGGCACGGGGACATTCCCAGGGGAACTGAAGGAGGCAGTGGTGCGTCCGCTCTTAAAGAAAACATCATTAGATCCTTTAGATCTATCCAATTACCGCCCGGTTTCGAATCTTCCGTTCCTGGGTAAGGTGATTGAGAGAGCGGTTGCTGAACAGCTTGGTGGGTTTCTGGATGAAACATCGGCTCTGGATCCATTCCAGTCCGGCTTCCGCGCTGGTCATGGGACTGAGACGGCTCTGGTTGCCCTAACAGATGATCTTCGTAGACAGCTGGATCGAGGCGGGTCGGGGCTGCTGATTCTTCTAGACCTGTCAGCAGCCTTCGACATGGTCGATCACGAACTTCTGGACCACCGCCTTGCCGACGTGGGGATCCAGGGCACAGTCCTTCAATGGCTGCGCTCGTTTCTCTCTGGTCGGGGACAGAGGGTGGCGCTTGGGGGGGAATTGTCATCGCGCCACTCCTTGGTGTGTGGAGTACCTCAGGGTGCGATACTCTCCCCGATGCTTTTCAACATCTTTATGCGCCCCCTCGCCCAGCTTGTTCGGAGTTTTGGGCTGGGTTGTCATCAGTATGCCGATGAAACTCAACTCTATCTGTTGATGGATGGCCATCCTGACTCGGCCCCAGACACACTGACCAGATGTTTGGAAGCTGTGGCTGGATGGTTACGTGGGAGCCGGTTGAAGCTAAATCCTTCGAAGGCAGAGGTCCTGTGGCTGGGACGGGGCGATATGGGATTGGGGGGGCAACTCCCATCTTTTGCGGGGGCGCAATTAGTGCCAGCACCGTCCGTTAAGAGTTTGGGTGTAATCTTCGACACCTCCCTTTCCATGGAGGCGCAGATTGCAGCTATAACAAAGGCGGCATTTTTCCATCTCCGCCAAGCTAAGCAGTTGGCTCCTTACCTCTCTCGCCCTGACCTAGCCACTGTGATCCACGCGACGGTCACCTCCAGACTGGATTATTGTAACTCGCTCTACGTGGGGCTGCCCTTGAGACTGACCCAGAAACTCCAGCGGGTGCAGAATGCCGCAGCGAGACTCCTTACGAGGTCTTCGCTGCGAGATCACATTCACCCGGTGCTATACCAGCTGCACTGGCTCCCGGTGGAGTACAGGATCAGGTTTAAGGTGCTGGTTTTAACCTTTAAAGCCCTATACGGCCTAGGACCCTCGTACCTACGGGACCGCCTCTCCTGGTATGCCCCACAGAGAAACTTACGGTCTTCAAATAAAAACATCTTGAAGGTCCCAGGCCACAGAGAAGTTAGGCTGGCCTCAACTAGAGCCAGGGCTTTTTCGGCTGTGGCTCCGATCTGGTGGAACACTCTGTCACAAGAGACCAGGGCCCTGCGGGACTTGACATCTTTCCGCAGGGCCTGCAAGACACAGCTGTTCCACCAGGCCTTTGGCCAGGGCACAGCCTGACTCCCTCCCTCGGCAATCTTCGCGGAGCTCTGGCCCAATGGTTGCCAGTGGCTTGAATTAATTAATTTTTATAATGAATGATTTTAGAATGTTGTTTATGTTGTACTTTTGTACTGTTTTATTGTTGTTAGCTGCCCTGAGCCCGGCTTCGGCTGGGGAGGGCGGGATATAAATAAAATTTATTATTATTATTATTATTATTGACTGTAACTCAGTTGCCATTCGTGCTGTCCAGGGTGCCCCCAACTGTGATGGTTTCCAACCCACTGCAGTGCAGGAATCGCAGCTTTGGCCTCCAGCAATTTTGGGAAGGTGCGTGCAAGGTGGGTGCAGGTCTCGCGAATGCTGATCACCGTTCTTTTCTGTCCCCAGGTGAAGATTGTCACGGTGGAGAAGAGGGTGAACGAGATCCTGAACCGGCTGGAGAAGACCAAAGTGGAGCGGTTCCCGGACCTGGCTGCCGAGAAGGAATCCCGCGACCGGGAGGAGAGAAACGAGAAGAAAGCCCAGATCCAGGAGATGAAGCGGAAAGAGAAGGAGGAGGTGAAGAAGAAGAAAGAGATGGAAGAGCTCAGGTGAGCGAGGCAATGACCTCCTTTTGGGAAGTCGAGTTGGACCCGTCCCAGTTGAACGGGGGTGTGGGTGGGTGTAGAAAAAGAAGCAGAAAACCCAAGGCAGCTGGCCTGCTTTCCTGAGCAACACAGCCCAGGGCTGGGCACAGATTTGTCTTCCCTTTCTAGGTGAATTCACACATAACTTTTAAATAATTGTGATATTATGCCACGATTTAGGACCTGACCAGCAATGTGTTGCACAAGAGGCTCTCCGAGCAGCGGGAGCGATGCCTCTTGGCCTTGCTGCAGACATAGGCAAGCAACTTTCTGGCAGGGTTTTTTTTTTGGGGGGGCACAACCCCACCCCTGTGACAGTGGTTGGTTCCTTGGCCAGTGTGTCTCTTGCCACCCCTTCCTTGTCGGTGCTGGCCAGTGGCATAAGCATGTGGGCGCCCCACTAGGGTGCTTTGAAGCATGCCGGTGTTCGCCCATGAACCCTGCCTCCCTGCTAGGCTTTGGTTGCAGTTCACTGCCTCCTGGGCTCCTCTTCCGTGGCTTTGTCAGGGAACTGGTGTTTGGGCTGCCTGGGTTTGCCTTTGGCCAAGATCCAGAGGTGACCAAAGGTGTGTGGTTCTCTATGTGCGAAGCTCTGATCCCGGCTTTGGCTAGGGAGGGCGGGATATAAATAAAAATTATTATTATTATTATTATTATTAAAAGTTGGTTGCAGCAGCCCTTTGAGCCTCATGGGGTGCTGATCTGGGGGTCCCCGGACCTTTGCAGGTGGGGGGCTGACAGTCAGATGTGGGAAATGGAATTCTTTTGGAGTCCAGCTTTTCTGATCTTGCAAGCTCTTGACGGAACTATTAGAGCAACAGTGGGGATGCTGCAGCCTGTGGGCCAGATCAGGCCCAGGAAGGATAATAATTTGGCCCCGTTTCCCCCCAAACCGTGCCCACAACATGGGTGCTGTCATGTGTGGGGCAAGTAAAAACGTGTCTGCAAAGGAGAAACCGGGAGCCTTGAAAACGTGGTTGTTCCTCGGCAAGTCATCCTTGCTGTAAGCGCCAGTCCGTTGACTGATGCTTAAAATGAGCCCCTCGGGCGTCACCTGCTTTCGTATGGGATCTTTGTTTGTGGGCTACGTAGCTTGAGAGGAAGAAGAAGAAGAGTTTGGATTTGATATCCCGCCTTTCACTCCCCTTCAGGAGTCTCAAAGCGGCTAACAATCTCCTTTCCCTTCCTGCCCCACAACAAACACTCTGTGAGGTGAGTGGGGCTGAGAGACTTCAGAGAAGGGTGACTGGCCCAAGGTCACCCAGCAGCTGCATGTGGAGGAGCGGAGACGCGAACCCGGTTCCCCAGATTACGTGACTACCGCTCTTAACCACTACACCACACTGACTCTCAAGAAGGGATAGATCTGTGAGTGCCCCTCTGCTTCTTTCCTTTTGAAATTGGGTTACCTGATTTCAGGTGATAGGCAGGTGGCTCATAAGGACATAAGGAGAGCCTGGTGGATCAGGCCAGTGGTTCATCTGGCCCCGCATCCTGTTCTCCTAGCAGCCGACCAGATTCCCCCAAGCAGAACCCAAGCGCAAGAGCCTTTTCAGCTCCTGTGGCTGCCAGCGACTGGCGCTCAGAAGCATCGCTGCCTCCAAGCACTTTGGAAGCGGAGCAGAGCCATCCTGGCTAGTCACAGGATTCTGTTCCCCACCCCTGCATTAGAGGGCCAAAGGGATCTCCGTACTTTTTTGCCAGCCAGGTTATCTCTAGCTGAGCAATGTCTGAATGCACTGTTGCCTTTCCTTTTGCAGGAGTTACTCTTCCTTAATGAAAGCGGAGAACATGTCCTCCAACCAGGTACGTCCAGGGTGCTTCTCGCGAGGAGCCTGTTGCCCTAGTGAGCAGCAGGAGGCAGAAGAGGCTTCCCAGCCAGAAAGTGAACTCCAAACTCATTTGCCTGTAAGGGTTAGAGTTATGTGACTAGAATGAGGAGGCAGTAAAGACTTAATTCTGCGAAGCTGCCTCTCCCCAGCTGCTTCACATTGTTTACCTGTGGAACTCCCTCCCACAGGAGGCAGTGATGGCCACCAATTTGGATGACTCCGAAAGAGTATTAGACAAGTTCATGCAGGAGGGGGGAAGGCTTTCGATGGCATTCATCTTTCGGTGATGATCAGGTAGATGCGGACCCAGTGAGGGAGAATTAATTCTGGGATCCAGCCTGAGAGTTGCCCAATCCCTGCATAGCTCGCCCGCCCGCCGCCCACCCTTAAAACATCCTCTAGAAAGCCCTTTCTCTGTCCTCCCCTTCCGCAGGACGGCAACGACTCAGATGACTTCATGTAAACCAAGGCACCCTCCTCTTGGACGATGAAGACGGACCTGAGCTCTTCGCTGTCGGTGCCAAAAATAAGCAAGCGAACTTGGGAGTCTCTGTGCCCGTTTCATCATTCTGGCTGGCGTCCGGGAGGAGGTGGGCGGCTCCCCTTCCTGGACAGACGCTCTGTGGCTGCCACCTTCCAGTTCCAGAGCCGCGAGGAGGCGTGCACCTTTCCAGGGGAACTTGGGGAGGTTCTGGCGGCTGTGGCTTTTCATGCCCGAAGCCTCCTGGGGAGCAGACCGTGACCTTAGAATCGGAGTCTGTGACCTGAATCTTCATTTCACAGTGTTTGGGTTTAGGGTATTTTTTTCTTAAGTGATGGGTTTGTGGTCCCCCTCCTCCCTTTGGTCGAGTGCACCTGTGTCAAGAGTCTGGTTCTCTCTTTAAACTCTGTAGGAATCTGCTCAGCACAGCTGCGTCACCTGTGCTGTAAAATGCTTGCCTGGATCTCAAGAGCATCGCTCATTTGAGCAGTCATGTAACCAGGGGGGTGGGATGGGACTTCCATTCCAGGGCCCCACAAAGCTCACTGCCCCTGTTCAAGTAAAACTGGACTTCTGTGTGATCTCTGTGCAGCCCACTGGTTCCCTGAGCAAGGCCAGCTGTGGGATCATCCCAGGGCTCTGGCGGCAGAATTGGACCTCTCCACCCTCGGCTACCAGCACCCGCCTTGTGAGGGACTCCTTGCTTGCTTCTCTTCTGCCTGTTGCCCTAGTAGCAGCAGCTCAGGAAAAGCTCTCCTTTGACTGATCCCTCCATAGCAAACTTCAACCGCTCCTTTTTCACTCTTTTTTAAAGGCTGGCAACGTGATTCTCAGTATGCTTTCTTTCTGCAGTTAGGCAATCTGTCTGTCTCTCTGTGTCTTTTCCCCGCCCCCACCTGCGTTTTGGCTTTTTCTCCCCTTCACTTCTCGTCCTCGGCGTCTCATTTGCAAAGCTTGGGGGTTGCAGAGGGTGTCCCTCCGACTAGCAGGGCTCACAGCTGTTTGGTTCGCCTCAGTGGGGAAGGTTGCAAGATGCAAGATGCTCAAGCGGGGGCATCATAGTTCCTCTCTGAAGTTTTCCAAAGCGGAGAAGCAGCTGCTTTTTTAGACCAGACTGGGGGGGCTCAGATTGTGGGGGTTTAGTTCCCAGTTCCTCCAACAGCGTCAGGACTGCCCTCGTCCGCTCCAGAGGCTCGAAGTTCCTACCACAAGACCTGACTCCAAGCTCCCAGAAAACGCCTTTCACGTTGCCATGGGGTCAGGACCAACCACGTGCTCCTGCTGCCCCATCGGCGACCTTAGAGGAAGAAGCGCCAAACTCAGCCCAGGCCAGCCTTCCCCAACATGATGCCCTCTTGATGTTTTGGATTATGGCTGTAGTCACACAGCCCCACTAGCTGGAATTTTGTTTGGGGTGGGTGTCAGGTTGGGGAGTGTCTGGCCTAGGGCTTCCCCTACTACCTCCATCGTGTCTACAGATCAGCGCTCTGCCTGACCTCAAGAACGACCCTAGAGGATGTTAAGTGTGTCTGTCTGAACCTTCACATGTGTGCAGTCCGCATGGGCGGCTCAGCATTCCCTTCTGTGAGAAATGGGATCTTTGGCGCAGAGTTAACGCACATTGCCTGAATGTGTGCCTGTTGCTGCAACCCTGATGCCTAATAAAAAAAAACTTGCGCACCAAGAGCTAATGGACGAGTGATTGGTTTATTGCAAGGAAAAGGCAGTGTGCATGCTAAAATCCGTTGTGTAATTTATAGTGCAGATATAGATGCAGGCGGCAGCTTTAGTACTGATGCATTCACATTCCTAGCTTAAAGGTAACAGATCCCTGAGTTCCAAGAAACAGAAAGTGAGCATAACATTCATAAGAACAGAGCCTGCTGGGTCAGGCCTAAGGGAGCCCAGCATCCTGTTCGCACAGTGACCAACAAGATGCTTGTGGGAAACCCAAAAGCAGGATCTGACCCCGAAAACCCCCGCCTGTCCTGTGGCTTCTAGCAACCCAGAAGCACCACTGCCTCTGCCCGTGCTGGCAGAGCATGTCTGTTGTGGCTAAGAGCCATCGATAGCCCTCTTCTCCCTGAATTTGTCTAATCCCTTTGGTGGGGTAAAGTTTTCCATTACAGTGGTACCTCGGGTTAAGAACTTAATTCGTTCCGGAGGTCCATTCTTAACCTGAAACTGTTCTTAACCTGAGGTACCACTTTAGCTTATGGGGCCTCCTGCTGCCGCCACACGATTTCTGTTCTCATCCTGCAGCAAAGTTCTTAACCCGAGGTATTATTTCTGGGTTAGCAGAGTCTGTAACCTGAAGCATCTGTAACCCGAGGTACCACTGTTATTTCATGTTATTATGTATATGAAACAGGGAGAACAGTTACAGCAACAGACGAACGTTAAAGGATGAAAAACACAACAATAAAATAGGCGCAGAAAATGAGTCCGGTTGCACATGGGTTAAAGTCACAAAGCCCAAGTAAAAACTTTTCGACTTTTATCAGATCACAAGAGTATTGTTCCGGATTTGCCAGGCTGTTGTGCAATGGTTGGTTTTTTTTTTTTTTTTAAATTTTTTTATTAAGTTTCATTTAATGCATACACATAACACAGGTAAGTAAAAATAGAAAAAGAAAAGGAAAAAAGAAAAATTAAAAAGAGAAAAAGTAAGACAAGAAACAAGATAACATACAATTTGACTTCCATCCCTCTTGACTCTGGATTCCTAATTTTTCCAAGATTCTATCTTTACAGCTGTTGTTATTTAATAACTTGAAACATCGAAAGTTTTATAATAAACCAACTATATTTGGTACGTTTTCGTAATTTCCTTCTATATATGTCATAAATTTAGCCCAATCATCCCTTAACTTTGTATTCTTTTGGTTTCTAATTTTCTGCGTCATGTTTGCCAATTCAAAGAAGTCATATAGCTTATTTTGCCATTCCATCATCGTTGGGGTGCTCGTGCTTTTCCATTTTTGAGCAATTAGCAGTCTGGCCGCTGCTGTTGAGTACTGGAACAAAATTACATCTTCTTTCTTAATCTCCTCTCCTATGATGCCTAATAGAAAAGCCTCTGGTCTTTTTAAAAATGTGTATTTTAATATTTTTTTTAACTCGTTGTATATGGTATCCCAGAATTTTTTAATATCCTCGCAGGCCCACCACATATGCATGAAATTACCCTCCTTTACTTTACACCTCCAGCAGGCCCCGCTACCAATCTTGTATATCCTATTCAGTTTTTCTGGTGTTAGATACCATCTGTGAATCATCTTTTCTATGTTTTCCCTGATTGCGGCACACGCCGTAAATTTTATTCCCTTCTCCCACAGTTTTGACCACTGCTCATAGGCTATGCTATGTCCTAGATCTATCGCCCATTTAACCATGACTTCTTTGATCTCCTCATCTTTTGTGTCCCACTCCAATAAAATATTGTACATTTTAGATAATAGTTTAGAGTTACCTTCAATTATTTCAATCTGAAATTTCGATTTTTTTTCATTCATTCCAATTTTTTTATCTTCCGCCCATATGGCATTGATTTGATAATACTGTAGCCAAACTGTCAGTTTTCCCTCCAGCTCCTCGTATGGTCTTAATTTCCACGTGTCTTCCGATCTTACCAGTAGGTCCTCATATGTTAAGTTCTTTACTCCCGTATTTATATTTTTAGTTGTTATAATATTAAAAGGGGATAGCCACCAAGGGGTTCGCCATTCCAGTAATTTTTTATTCCTGTTCCAGGCTTCATACAAGGGGCCTCTAATAATATGATTTAAAAATCCCCTATGCACTTTCCCTTTATTCTGCCATAGATAGGCATGCCAGCCGTATCTATTGTCCGCCCCTTCCAGGTCCAGTAGATCGCTGTTTTCTAGAGTGATCCACTCTTTAACCCAGCATAAACATGCGGCTTCATGGTACAACTTTAAGTTTAGAAGAAGAAATAGTAGAAGATCCAAAAAAGATACAAAAAAATTTTATGGAGTTCTATGAAGGGCTATATAAAAAAGGAGAGGAGGACGCAACCTTAATAGAAAAATACTTAGAGAACTGTGAAGGGAGGACTTTAACGGCCGAAGAGAAAATACAGCTAAACAAACCCATAAATATAGAGGAGATCCAGAATGCAATTAAAAGAATGAAATTGGGGAAGACTCCAGGCCCGGATGGCTTATCAGCAAAATACTATAAAGTCCTAGGAAACCAACTCGCGCCAGCCCTCTGTGAAGTTATGAATGATATTTTAAAGGATGGAAAAATACCGGAGTCATGGCGGGAGGCTTTCATAACCTTAATTCCAAAATCGGACACCGACAAATTAAATATCAAAAATTACAAAAAGTGCCCGCCAGCCAGCTGCCCAGAGAAGACACTTCTGGGTGGGGACTTCCTCGCCTTCTCCTCTTGCTTGTTCTGGAGGGATCTGCAGAACATCGTGAGTCTTTCCTTCTGCTGGTCTCATGATGCCTCCTGGCTCGCTCAGCAGCTTCCTGCCCAGCCGGCGTGGGAGGCCTCTGTCAGTCCTTGGCTGGGCCTCCTAATAATAACCTCAGGACCTCAAAAGGGCCTCCTGGATCAGGCCCAATGATCCGTCTTCTAACTGGCCAACCAGGTGCCTGAGAGGCTCTGAAAGGCAGGACGGTGGTCTGAAGACTGGCCCGACCTTGCAGAGACTGCTGTGCAGATGTCCTGTATATGATACGATACTCTTTATTGTCATTGTCCCAGAACAACGAAATTATAAAATAAAATCCACATAAGACATTCAAAACCCAACAAGCCTGCTATCCCAGCTATCGCAACCTGGTTAGCCCCCTAAAAACTCTGATACCCCACTTTAAATATACTCCCTTAGAGTATACTCCCATAGAGTATATTTACAATATAGTCCCATAGAGACTCCTTAAAGGCAAAGGTAAATGGACCCCTGACCGTTAGGTCCAGTCGTGACCAACTCTGGGGTTGCGGCGCTCATCTTGCTTTATTGGCCGAGGGAGCCGGCGTACAGCTTCCGGGTCATGTGGCCAGCAGGACTAAGCCGCTTCTGGCGAACCAGAGCAGCGCACGGAAACACCGTTTACCTTCCCGCTGGAGCGGTACCTATTTATCTACTTGCACTTTTGACGTGCTTTTGAACTGCTAGGTTGGCAGGAGCAGGGACCGAGCAACGGGAGCTCACCTTGTCGCGGGGATTCGAACTGCTGACCTTCTGATCAGCAAATCCTAGGCTCTGTGGTTTAACCCAGAGCGCCACCCGCGTCCTTACACTGCGTTTAAAACCAAAATCGCATTTGGATAGAAACAGTTTCTCAGGCAGCTAGTCCTAGTCTTTATAACCCTGGACCTTCTTCCGGAAGGCAGAAGCTGAAAGAGATCATTTCTGGGGTGCGCACTATCCTGCGCTACCTCTGCAGCTTTCTTAGGGCACCTGGAAGCGTAGATTTGATCCAAGGTGGGAAGAGTGCACCCAATTATTCTCTCCGCGGTCTTTACAACCCTGGACAGCATTGTTTTTCCCCTGGCCGTGCAGCTCCCAAACCACACACACACAGACCATAACCACACACAGAGTCATATTGCTGTAGGAGACCAGAGGGCAAAACGAGCCCAGCCCCCCTGCCAGACAAGAGACGCCATCGAAGCACTCCTGACAAATGGTTGTCAGGCCTTTGTTTAAAGACCTCCAAAAAGGAGATCTTTCATTGATGATGCATGAGAATGTGAACCCAAGGTCTCTGACATCTGTTCAAGATAAAAATTTAAAATTATTAACCATCTGTTTTGGAGGGCAATAGGGCAAGGAGGGCAAGAGGTGAGCTGGTAATTAAGGATCCTTGTTGAGACAAATGTAAGATATATGACTACTTATTTGTCATTTATAGATAGAAGAATATATAGCTTTTTGTATCCCATAAAAGGTAATAGGAAATGGGTGTATCTTTTACGATTGGTTCTAGCAGGCAGCCAATAGGAATTCCAACCAGGCTGATTGGACAGAGGCAGCCAAAGGAGGAGCAAGGGAGCTGGGCTGAGGGAATATAAGTGCTGGCCATAATGGCAGGAGAGCAGGCCAGAGCTTGGTAACCATATACCACTGTGCCTCTCATTTATTTGTCTGACAAATAAATTATTATTTTAATTTCTCTATTGCTGCGTTGAATATTTCATTCCAGCTAAGCGTTAACCACAAGCAGGGTGCTACACTGTAACTTTCAATTGTGTTTGGAAACGTACTGGGAGCCAACGAAGGTCTTTCAGGACCGGTGTTATGTGGTCTCGGCGGCCGCTCCCAGTCACCAGTCTAGCTGCCGCATTCTGGATTAGTTGTAGCTTCCGGGTCACCTTTAAAGGTAGCCCCACATAGAGCGCATTGCGGTACTCCAAGCGGGAGATAACCAGAGCATGCACCACTCTGGGGAGACAGTCTGTGGGCAGGAAGGGTCTCAGCCTGCATACCAGATGGAGCTGGTAAACAGCTGCCCTGGACACAGAATTGACCTGCGCCTCCAGCTGCTAGGATAGCAATGGCTGGAACCTGAAAATCCTTACCGTTACTTACAATATAGTGAGGGCAAAAAAAGCTTGAGAATTTTTATGCAGTTTGGTATGCACAAATGATTAAACACATGGAAGAGGGGAGTCTCAAATGCATGCTGGCCCCCCTCAGTCTTAGG